CTCCCTCCCTCTCCCCCGCGTTCCTTTCCCGTGTCCCTTCACGAAAGGCTCTCGACGACTCTTATGTGATTATTTAAAGACTTATTTTTTCTATAATGATAACGATAATAATGATAATAAGTTAATGCGTAGCGAAGAAACGTTTTATTAAGGCGATAAACTGCGATAATTGCGCATCTACGGCAAAGACTCTTACTCGTGTATAAATATGACGTACGGAAGTAACCCGTGTAACAAACACAACACACACATACACACGCAACAATTATTATTGAGAACAAGTGAAATATGTACGAACGGCGAATAAATAAAGAACATGAATCGACGACGGGCTTCGATTACGCTGCCACCGAAGCCACATCTCTCCGGTTATCAAATCCTCGTGATCATCCTGAGTATATTTTCAGTACTCTCGTTTCCTGCGTATTTTATTTGAAAGTAATTTCGATGTGAACTCTGTCTAAAATTCTTTTCACGTACGTGCAATTAACGGAAATATTCCAAGGAAATTGTACACAAGACGCTAATTACACAAAGTTGTTGATAAATGTAATTGTTACGTTTTAATGCCAACTAATTCTATATGTACAAAAGTGATAAAAGTGCCGCTGCGCGAAAAAATGCAGCGATCTTTTTTATGTAGCGTCAAACAAATAAAGAATACTACCAAGTATCGATTGTGGATACTTTCTCTCAGTCGACAATGAAGAACTGGTATCCGGTTACCGTCCGGTGTCTTCCATGAAAGTATCGAGTTGCAATTTATTTCTTGTTCACCGGTTGAGTCAGGTGTAAGTTGAGCGAAAGTATCAGTTGCCGATACTTCTAAATATTTTCTAAATATTGTGGGTAATCATTTCTTTCTTTTCTGCAGCAGGGAATCGGATTTCTTCGTTCTCGAGGCTGAAACTCGCGACTTTACTGGTGAACGGTACTTGGACGGCGCGAATATGTGGCATAGCCTCCAACAGAAGCAACCGGTCAAGTCTTCTACATCTTCAATCTCGGAGATGAGATTTGGCGAAACCTTTCGGATACTTCGTTTATTTTTCTCATCTGATACCACGCGACCAGAAATTATCACGCCCTGTTGTTCTTTTAGAGAATTATGATTAGACGCAGATGGCTCATTAGACTGGAGATTCTTCGCGAGAAAAATCGAATAGCGATCCTTCGCAGAACTTTCTTCTGATCCATCTGCTTCGTCCTTCCTTTGCAACATTTCGCTATCTTTCTTCTCGTCGAAAGAAGAATACTTAATGTCTTTCACCCACAAATCATCTCTATCGAATCGTCTGTGAGGATGTTTTTGAGCGATCGCCTGGAGACTCTCCGTCTTCTTCAGGGTTTCCCAGGAGGAGACGAGCATAGGATTCGATCTCGCAGCGTGATGATCGGCCCAACGATCGTTGGAGCACGTTTTATAAACTTCCCTTGTTGACAAATCATCCGAGCAACTATTCGCTTTGGACTCCTCTTGACAAGCATTATTTTCGTAAATGATTTTCGTCGATTCTAGAGTTTTGTCATCATTCGGCTGCTTTGATGCTTTTTTCAGCTTCGAGGAAAATATCCGAACGAAGGCCTTTATCATAGACTTCGAAGACGTCGTATTCTCCTTTTTTTCCTTTGCAACACAGCACAGAATATCCGCCACGGTGTCTTCCACACCCGAAATGGCCAATCTCGTTAAACTAGGATGCATCTTCAGCTGGTAATCGGTCTTTTCTCGCAGATGATCGTCCATTTTTGTACAGCCAAGATTTTTATCGGGTAACTGATAATCGTTTGTATCCTCGTGTTCAACTGACAGCGCTCCCGACGCCTCCGAAATTGTGAAGGGAAAACGTTCCTGGCTCTTCTTCTTCTTTTTTCTCTTAGGCTCGCAATTCAAGTTCAACGTCGACGGAGATATTCTCGCGGCAAAGTCGGACTGTTCCTGCGTCCTGCATACATGAAACGTCAAATTTTCTAATGTCGCGTTCTTAGATGCTTCTAGATTTTGCTCGAAGCTCAGCCTGTCGTTAAATTCAAGATTATCGCCAACGTGATTTCGCTTTCTACCGCTTTTCTGAATTTCCGATGGCGAATCTAATTGAAGATATTGACTTTTAAACGACAATGGCTCACACATTATTCCTATTGCCAGTTTGTATTGTTCGTTATCCTGCAAATACAGTCCTTCTGACTTTTTGCCACGCGATGTGTAATCTTTTACGTTTTCAGAATTTTCTTCGTCATTAATTGATGCGCATTCATCCTCGGTTCTCCAAGTAACGTTCTCGTCTGCATTTCTCAACGACTCGATTCGAAACTTATCCTTCTTGTACTTGGACAGATCTGGCGATTCAGTAGCACTTGTGACGTCCGCAGTGTCTATGCTTTTCCGAGATGTACTCCGATCCGATCTCGATCGTACGTCGTCATCGATCTTCGCGTAATCTCGACCGCTGGAGTAAGCTGCTTTGTGGAAGAACGCAGGTGAACAACTCTCTTTAAATTTGCTCTCTGCAGATAGATGTTGCATTTGGTCGTACGTGTAATCACCAAAGAATGTATTTTGGAGACTCCGCAGGTTCGAGGAAGCTAAATTAAGTACGTGATCGTTGATTTCGTATTCCGCCTCGTCGCCTGGTGGAAACGCACCTTCAGCGACCGTAACTTCGATACTCTCGTTCCTCGACTTCAACGAATTCTGTTTGCAGATTTCAGAGTACGACGAACTCATTTGACGAACGATACTTTCGCACGGAACGCTGTTTTGTTCGATAAATTTCGACTCCGCGTAAATGGCAGTCTCATTGGAATTCTCTGGTTTGTAACATCCCGAGTCATTGCCCGATAGACTCTTGTTACTGGGAATCCTGACGGGTATCCTGGAAGGAATACGCGACAGCGATCTTCTAGGCGACTCTAACGTCGAAGATCTTGGTACGCGCCACGTTTCCCCTTTCGTGGGAAAATCTGAGGCTCCGCTCGATGCATCGATCGTATCCTTACCGTGATGAAAACCCTCGCGTTTCCTCGACGCACCGTCGGCCTGTTTTTCCTGTTTCAGAGATACATCTGATAAAGCTTTGATCAACGCGTGGGGATCGAGAGGTTGCGCAGCAGAACATTCTCGGCTGCCTGCTGATGTCGAGTACGAAATATCCTGCGAATTTAACGCAAGCGTAGGAACTTTTGTTAGAATTTCCTGATCGCATTTATCCGGCGTGTCAATGCCAGTTTGAGGTCTTCTGCTCGAGAGTGTTTCCTTCTGTAAATACATTTTTGCCGTACAGGATGACCGACTGTGATCTCCACTCCCGTACGGCTCCAAAGTCTGAGACGATAAAGCTTCTTCCGTAATGTCGTTTTGAATTCTCTCAATAAAATGTGACGTATCGACAGCTGCTTTCGGGTAAAGACTCGTCGATCGATGCCATTCTGCCATATCGAGAACATCCCTATTGTTTTCTAAAGAATGAGCTTCAAAGTTAAACTGGCCTGGCGAACAATTAAATTCAAACGGATTTTTAATGTCATGTTGTGTTTTCGATGTGATACGTCGATAATCTTCTGCTTCTTCTTTCTCCTGTATACTTTCAAATTCCGATTCTACCCGTTTAAATTCATCATAAACTTTCATTGTAGATTCATTATGAGTTACTTGTTCATTGTAGGCACTCGGTACAGGTTCCGCAAATTCTAACATAAAACTTTTCGTGAAGAAAATCGACGTATCTTGCGGCGTCTCTTCTCTTTGATAACGCGGACCTTCATGTTCCGGCTCGACCTGCCGAAAATCACTGGAAGTTTTCGCTACAAATCCATCGTGACTTGCTCGCTCATTAAAAACATCTACCAGTGCATTTATTTTCCCCGGTTGGTTATAAGTTGTCGTTTCATCACGATTTATTTGTCCAGCGTAACTTCGCGAAGTATTTTGGGCAATTCGACGATCGAAATCGTCAATGTCGAGCGATCGCGATGAAGGCAGAAGATTCGGCAATATTGACCCGGTAATGTCACTTCTCGCGGACATAATCGGCATCTTCTTGATAGGCTCATTGACAGATGAGACAGCCATGGATTCCGGCGAGGATAATTCCAGAGTCGTGATAGTATGGTCGATTTTTCGGACGGAAGAAAGTCCGCTACTCGTTTCATTGATGGATTCCGATTCGCTGCTGGAGCTCAGATTCTTCAGAATTATCCCGGAAGGTGGACGATACCCTCCAAACTTCTTCGGTCGAACGCTGCCGCTGAGGGAAAACGGTGAAACGGATGGGAGATCGGTTGACTTCGACGCACTCTCGCGAGGCGTGAAGTTCCGATGACTGTGGGAGAGTGTCTTGCATTTGATGTCGCGCGATTCACCGTTACTGTGAGGAGAAAAACGCGTGGAGGACGGTTCGGATAAGGAAGAAGGTCGAGATTTTCCTCGAGATATCGCGATCGCAGGCAGCCGCAGACGA